TAAGAAAGTACTGTATCTGAGATCGAGCCTTAAGAGAGGCATTAAAGTACAAGGAGGTCTGTGGGGTGGCCCAGTCCCATGTGAGTGGTGACGACACACCAGAGGGACAGCCGTGGAGCTACAGGGAGGGAGACGCATCTACAAGCAAGGAAAGAGGCCTCAGAAGGAGCCAGCCCTGCCAACACCTTGATCTGGGCCTTCCCGCCTCCAGAGCGTGAGGCTGTGGTTGAATCGCCAGGCTGTGGACTTCGTGACGGCGGCCCTGGACACGAGTACAGGCAGATTCTCCCACCCACCACAGTCCAGACAGAGAACTGCCCATCGCTGCAAAGATCTCCCTCATGTCTGTCCTGCTGGAGTCCCACCCATTCCCTAATTTCTGGAGACCACTATCTGTTCCCCATCTCTATATGTAATCCAGAGAGTTAGTATAAATGGACCGTGCACTAAGTGATGGACTTTTCCACTTTTTTTTGTCCCTAAGATCCATCCAGCTTGTTGCATATATCGATTGTTCGTTCCTTGGGTGCTGACAGTAATCCATGGGTTTAAAAGGGGAACACAGCACAGCAGCGAGTGGACTGGAGGGAGCGAGAATGGAAAGGGAGAGTGCGCTGAGCATGATGGGACCTGGGGGGGATGCTGGGCTGGAGCTGGCAGAGGAGGAGAGTGCGGAGGTAGGGGTGTTCTGAAGGGACTTGCAGATGGATGGTCCGGATGGAGGCTTCTCCATGCCTCAGTTTCTTTAACTGTAACATGAGGATCACAGCAGCACTCACCTCCTAGTATTCCAGGCATTAAATATATGGTACCTGCAAAGCATTCAGAATAGTGCCTGCCCGCTAGTAGGTGTTCAGTAAATGCTAGATATTAGGAGATAGCCTGCTATGCCGACAACTCCAACATTTACGTCTCCTGGCTTCCTTCCCGTACTTCATACTCATATCCAAATGTGATCTCCCCGGGGTGTCTAATAAGCACCTCAAACGTATCCAAAACCAGCTCAACACTAACTCCACCGACTACCTTCCCGTCACCTCCATCCTAGCAAGTAACGCATTTGCCCAGCCAAGGCTACGGCCCTAGAACCTTCTTTCCCTCTGCTCTTCTCTGTCCTCCCATGACCCATCCATCTGCAAGTCCCCTTCAGAACACACCTACCCCACCTCTCCGCACTCTCCCCTCCCCTCTGCACCAGCATCCCGCCCCCAGGCTCCCATCATGCTCAGCGCACTCTCCCCATTTCCATTCTCGCTCCCTCCAGTCCACTCCGCTGCTGTGCTGTGCTCCCCTTTTAAAACCCATGGATTACTGCTCAGCACCCAAGAGGGACGAACAATCGATATATGCAACAAAGCTGGATGGATCTTTGGGACAAAAAAAAAGTGGAAAAGTCCATCTCAAAAGGTCACCTAGTGCACGGTTCCATTTATACTACACTCTCTGGATTACACAATTAGAGATGGGGAACAGATTAGTGGTCACCAGGAATTAGGGAGATGGGTGGGACTCCAGCAGGACGACATGAGGGAGATCTTTGCAGCGATGGGCAGTTCTCTGTCTGGACTGTGGTGGGTGGGAGAATCTGCCTGTACTCGTGTCCCAGGGCCGCCGTCACAAAGTCCCACAGCCTGGCGGATTTCAACCACAGCCTCACGCTCTGGAGGCGGGAAGGCCCAGATCAAGGTGTTGGCAGGGCTGGCTCCTTCTGAGGCCTCTTTCCTTGCCGTGTAGATGCGTCTTCTCCTCCCTGTAGCTCCACATGGCTGTCCCTCTGTGTGTGTCCGTCACCACTCACATGGGACTGGGGCCCACCCACAGGACCTCCCTGTACTTTAATGACCTCTTTAAGGGCTCGATCTCCAGATACAGTCACTTTCTTAGGTCCTAGGGATTAGGACTTCAACATACGAATTTGGGGGGACCCAATTCAGCCCATAACACTATTGACGTGATAAAATTGCATAAAACTCTACACACACACCAGTGTCGACTTCCTGGTTTGGCCATTGTCCTATAGTTACACAAGATGTGACCACTGAGGAAAACTGGGGGAAGGTACGTAGGGCCTCTCTGTACTATTTTTGCAACTTCCCGTGAATTTATAGTCATTCCAAAATATAATTTTTTTAAAAAAAAGCATAAAATATCTCACTTTCCTGCTGAAATCTCGAATGACTTCCAGCACACTTAGAATAAACCCAAAGCCCTCACCAGGGTCTCCAGTGCTGGACTGCCCCCAGTCTCGTCTCTGCCTGTCTCCCCAGACTTGCCCTTCCTTGACACACAAGCCCCATCTCAGCCGAGGGTGCTGGAATTTGCTGCTTCCTCCCCCAGGGATAATTTTCCCAGACACGCCTGCCTCCTGGCCTCATTTAACTCATTCTCTCTGCTTCAATGTCATCCTCTCAGATAGTGTCCTGATGCCCTATTTACACAGACATCCCACCTTCCCTTCCACTGACTTCTGACCCTGCTTAAGTTTCCTGATGGCATTTATCACCTACTAGTTATTACATTTTTGCTTGTTTATTGTTTGTTCCTGCTTCCTAGATGGAATGCAAGCTCAGCAAGGGCAGGGACTTTGTTTGACTCCATGTTGTAGCCCCGGTTCCTAAATCGTGCCTGGCACATGGTAGGTTCTCAAATACTTGTTGAATAAACGAGTGAAAGTTGGTGCTTATTCCCGCAGGCTCGGAATCGGAAGGCCTCACCAACCAGCCCTGCCCGGACCCCTCCTCCAGGCGCTCCCTCCCCGGAATCCAAGAACCAGAAGGAGCTACACCTTGTCTCCCTCGGCTGCCCAGGACCCAGAGTGCCCACTCAAGACCCAGAATACGAGAACCACCAAGAGGAGCTCCACTACGCTGGCCTCAACTTCCTGGGCATGCGACCCAGGCCTGAGGCCCAGAGGCCCAAAGATACCCAGGAGGATTACGCAGAAATCAAGTTCCACTGAGGCTCTCTTGAGCTTTAGGACCAGGACCTCGGCTAGGGAGAGAAGTAGAGCAATAAAGCAGTTGAGGAGAACCGAGTACAAAGTCTCTCTTTCTCTGTCTCTCTTTTTTCAAGTCCTCCAAGGTTGGGTCATACCACCCCAGACCCAGGCACTCCGAACAGCTTGACAAGTCTGTCCCAAGGCCTGTCTGCACGCGGCGTTCTGAGAGGCCAGGCACAGATCGGCCTCACATGCCGCGCACCAGCCCAGGGGCTTGCTCAGTCTGAGTCTCAAAGCGGGAGGGCCCTTAGAGGGGGCTAGACAGTGTCACCTAGGAGGCTCCCCACCATGCACACATCACCTGCGAGCCAAGAGTGTCTTATACATTTTACATAGTTGGGGGGAAAAATCAAAGGAAGCCTGTTTCATGAAATGTGGGAATGAGATAAAATCCAAACTTTAGCGTGCATGAAGTTGGGCGCCCAGCCACGCCCCTTCGACAGATCGTTTGCAGCTGCTTTCAGACCGTTGGCCTGCAGAGCCCGAATTTCCGTACTATCTCATCCCTTACCGGAAAAGTCTGCTGGATCTTAACCTACATTAACTCACTCGTTTTCGCAGAAGCCCAGAAAGAGTTCAAGAGCAGCCATGGCCAAAATGACTAGGTCTGTCACCGCACGGAGGTTCCCAGGGTAACGATTTAAAGGTCAGGAGTCCCGTGGGGCGCGTGCTGATGCTCTCTCAGACCCAGCAATCTCGGGAACAGCGATGCTGTGAGGGGAGGGAGGCGACAGCCAACGTACAACGCGCTAGAGCCACACTGTCCCCGGCTGGTGAGCGGAGTGGGAGAGGAGCCTACTCCTCAGGGCACAGCGTGTCCCTTTTCTCGCCTGACCTCCTCCCTCCCCAGAGCTCACAGCCCTAACCGGCTCCAGGAAGGTCCCCTTGGGGATGGTCACCACGCGTACAACAGTCGAAAGCACAGGAAAGGAGCTGACCTTCGTAATTTTTTTAAAGTAACACATCACACAATGAGAAGACTGGGAAAACTGAAAGCAAATGGGCGGAGCAGAAGGGGCACGGGGGCTCAGGTGACGAAGGGCACAAAGGTGGGCGGAGTGACAGTGAGAACGGAAGGGGAGGAAGGGAACTGCCCTTTTGGTCACCTAGTGCGTATTCGTAGTTATCCCCTTCGAGAAAAGCTGTGTAAGACAGACGGGATCTCCACTGCGAAGACTCAGAGAGGTGAATTATCTTGCCTAAAGCCACACAGGAGAGAAACCTGCAGAAGCGGGAGCCCCATCCGCGGCTGTCCCGCGCCAAAGCCAGCTCTCCTGCTGTTGCACGGTGTCTCCTGCAGGGGCGCTCCTGAGACGGAAGCAGCTCCGAGAGCCCCAGGCCAGACCCTGGCACTCGCTTGGCTCTGTGGAGAGACTGAGGCACCAAATGCACCGTCTCTGACCTGGGTTATGGGGCTTTTGTTGAACTCTGCCAAAGAGCAGGCAAAAGATTTAGAAAGAAAGGCATAATTTCTGCCGGGCGCGGTGGCTCACGCCCGTAATCCTAGCACTCTGGGAGCCCGAGGCGGGCGGATTGCTCAAGATCAGGAGTTCAAACCAGCCTGAGCAAGAGCGAGACCGCGTTCTACTAAAATAGAAGAAATTAATTGACCAACTAAAAATATTATAAGAAAAAATTAGCCAGACGTGTGGTGCGCATGCCTGTAGTCCAGCTACTCGGCAGGCTGAGGCAGGAGGATCGCTTGAGCCCAGGAGATTGAGGTTGCTGTGAGCTAGGCTGCCGCCAGGGCACTCACTCTAGCCTGGGCAACAGAGTGAGACTCTGTCTCAAAAAAAAAGAAAAGAAAGAAAAGAAAGAAAGGCATAATTTCAAAAGGTGATGACTTTCACTGAGAGGAAAAGCTGGTAGTGGACTAGTTCATGTTTTCCAAGCTTATACAGACATGCTTGGCTGGACTTCTGTAAACGACTTTTGTCTTGTGTCCTGAGCAAGAGAATAATAGTACAGTATGTTCACACGTAACACCCACTTTAGCCAGACCCTCTCAAATCCCAGAGCTAGTTATCTGTGAATGTTTTTATAACAGTGGCTGACATATATTGAGCACTGACTACATCCCAGGCACTACTGTTGATTCTCATAGTAGCCCAGTTAATATTCACAAAGTCTTAAGAGGATTTTTTTAAACCAAAGACTGGAGAAGTTCCCTCCACCTTGCCCAGCCTTTAAATTAGCTAGTTCCTTTCATAAGGCAGCAAGAACAGGTTTAGAACTTTAAGAGACAGACATTAGTCCAGAAGAGTTTAACAAAACCCCTTAATTTGTCTACCTAACATAGTATGAGATGATAATCATCTATGTCTTGCACTGGTTTCTAAGCCATTACTGGCGAGAGTTCTTTATCTAACTGTGTTTATCCTTCCAGAGAGTAAAGACCCCCCCCCCACTCGTGGTCTTAGAGAGGGAGAAGGAAAAGGGATTAACACCGGCCAGCTCCTTGGACACAGCCCGGCCACGCCTCCTCTCTGTGAGGTGACCTGAGGTGACCTGCGAGCCGGTTACATGTCAAATGACTGTGACAGTGATTGGACAGTCCTGTGTCCAGTCACAGCTTTTCTTCTCCCTGGAGGCACCAAGAGGCAGGTTCTGACTTTTCTCTAATATAAATATTACAAAGAAGGTAACATGTAAAAATTCTTATGAAAAAACAGTCAGATGTGAAAACTGAAGAACTCATCATTTTATTCGTTTTGTTAGTCACAACTCATTAAAAAACCCCCACCTGTGAATGAAATGGCCCAAGCTTTGTGGTTCCACGCTCTCCCAATGACAGCTTATGACAAATCACTCTGGGTCTCCGGTGAAGATCACTACACAGCAACTCACAACGACAACAACCACAAAAGCTTTGAGATGGAATTTTCCAAAAGTTCCTTTATACGACGTATATTATCTCTATCTTACAGGTAAGCAAACTGAGGCACAGAAAGTGCCTACGGGCATGCTTGAAGCCAAATTACTAGTAAGACTCAATCCCCAGACAGTCTAACTCCAGATCGCAAGCTCTTAATCTTGACACAGTATTAGCCTTCTGGTGGACAGAGGGGGTCTAATAAAAAAGTGTGGTGGGTACACACATGGAAATGGAAAAGGATTTGCACTGTGTCCAGATTCTACCGCTTACTGCCAGAAACACTGCAGACAACTCACTTCCCCCTCTGAGCCTCGGCTGCCCCATGTATTAACATGAGGGCAATGCCCCTATCTGAAGGGACATGGTAATGACTGAATAAAAGAGCACAAAGACGAAGACATTTCACTGAAACAAATAAAAAGCTGAATTAGCTGCAAGGACTGAAGTTGGCCACCAGAAGCCAGTATTATACATAGAGGGAATTACAGACTCATGGTGCAGGCTCACCCAGTACAGCCACCTCATTTTATAGATGGGGCTTAGAGAGGGACAAGGTGTTGCCTAAGGTCACACAGCTAAACAGCAGAGTTGGGATTCAAACTCAGACGGACCCTACCACAGATGAGCACTGCAGATTACGAAGTCCCCTTTCACTAAGCTCAGATGGGGCAGACGCTGCAGCAGCCTTGAGAAAAATGGAACTCTCTAGAAGCTATGCAAAGATTGGGGGATTCTGCTTTCCTTGTCCCCTGGCCAAATCCTGCCATGAGAGCAATCCTTCACCAGCTGTTTGACCAGGGAAGTTACAAAACTGCATTGCTACTGCATCGGGTTTGACCAGGGGGCAGTAACTTCGAAATATTTGTGAAGGTCTTGACTTCTGCAATATGACTCGTGTCTTAGAGGAGGCAGAGGGTGTTGTTTTCCAGTACTCTCAGGGGAAAGGCAATGTTGTAAGTGAAAAAAAAAAAAAAATCCACCAGGCTTAGGGTCAGAAGACCCAGCTTGGATCTTCTGTATTGCAAGATACTCTCTTTAGCCAGTTAATCAAGGACTATTAACTCCAACAAGTATGAATATAAAACAGTTCTAGTTTTCTGATCACTCATTCAGTTGAGCCCTATGAAAACTTTTTCTCGGCTGGGCGCGGTGGCTCACGCCTGTATCCTAGCACTCTGGGAGGCCGAGGAGGGCAGATTGCTCGAAGTCAGGAGTTCCAAACCAGCCTGAGCAAGAGCAAGATCCCGTCTCTACTATAAATAGAAAGAAATTAATTGGCCAACTAATATATATAGAAAAAAATTAGCCAGCCATGGGTAGTCCCAGCCTGGGACTACATGCCTGTAGTCCCAGCTACTCAGGAGGCTGAGGCAGGAGGATTGCTTGAGCCCGGGAGTCTGAGGTTGCTGTGAGCTAGGCAGACGCCATGGCACTCACTCTAGCCTGAGCAACAAAGCAAGACTCTGTCTCAAAAACAACAACAAAAAAAAAACCTCAGCCTGGTCTTAAATCTTAACCTCAAACTCAGTTTAAGCCCCACAGCCTCTACTCCCTGGCATGTGCGGTTTAAGCGGGGCCCTGATGCCTACGAGAAGTAGACCAGTTGGCTCTGAAACCATTTCTCCATTTCTACTTTAAGGCCAAGTTTCTCTGAGTATTGGGGCCTAGTGAAGGAACCACTCACTAATGGGACAAGTGACTCCTGACCTAACTGGCCACAGCTGTGGCCTGTGTAGGCTGAAGTCGCTTCTCTGGCTAACGCTGGCTGGCTCTGTGAGTTGGGCGCTGTCCAAATTCTGGCTCTTCAGGGAGCAAAATTATGCGGACTTGGGGAGTGGATCCCAATGAGATTGTCTCCACTCCTCTGTTTCTTTCTTTCTTTATTTATTTTATTTGAGGCAGAGTCTCACTCTGTTGCCCCGGCTAGAGTGCTGTGACATCAGCCTAGCTCACAGCAACCTCAGACTCCCGGACTCAAGCGATCCTCCTGCCTCAGCCTCCTGCGTAGCTGACACTACAGGCATGCGCCACCATGCCCAGCTTTTCTTTTCTATGCATTTTTGGTTGGCCAATTAATTTCTTTCTATTTTTAGTAGAGACAGGGTCTCACTCTTGCTCAGGCTGGTTTCGAACTCCTCACCTTAACAATCCATCTGCCTTAGCCTCCCAGAGTGTTAGGATTATAGGTGTGAGCCACCGCGCCCAGCCAACTCCTCTGTTTCTTGACATGAGAAGGTGTCCTCCCACACCTCCAAGTCCACCACTGGCAGATACCACATAGCCTCTTGCTGCATTCTTGGAAAAGACAGCCCGGGGTAACTGAAGCCTACCTACCGCCCATGGCACCCACTCAACCCCCTGCTACAGATTCAATGTTTGTGTCCCCCTAAAAGTCTATGTTGAAATTCTAACCCTCAATATAATGATATTTGGAAACAAGGCCTTTGAGAGATGATTAGGTCATGAGGGTGGGGCCCTCATGAATGGGATTAGTGCCCTTATAAAAGAGTCCCCAGAGAGCTTGCCTTGTCCACCATGTGAGGACATAGATAGAAGGTGCCATCTGTAAACCAGCAAGTGAGTCCTTACTTCCCTGAATCTGCAAGCAACTGGATTTTGGACTTCCCAGTGGCCTCAGAACTGTGAGAAATAAATTTCTCATGTTTGTAAGCCACGCGACCTATGGTATGTGTGTTATAGCAGCCCAAAGGGACTCAGACGCTCACACATCCCAAACATGCCAGACTGTGGAATGCAAGTGACGCTGTGTTAGGGACCGACCTTCCACAGCCCCACCAGACAGAAAAGCAGAGACATCGAGGATGCAATCACACAAGAGGAGTTTATTTTCTGGCTAGCCAGGGTCCAAGCCCTAGAGCACCAACACAGTGGCCACTCTTGCAGGCAAGGACCCTGACCGGGTTGCAGCGTGCCTTTTATCCCTATGGTGCATACGCCATGCAGTGGCTGATCACGCGTGGATCATGCATTGATCTTTAACATGATTGGCTGGCTGGCAGCCCCACTATACAGGGGTTCGAACAATGCAAAGTTGGCGCAAACAAGCAAGCAAGCAACAGTTTCCATGGCAAGCAAGCAACAGTTTCCAGAAGCCGGATGTTGGTTCCGGCTTCACTGGGGGTGTGGGCCTTGCAGGTGTGCAATGTCTCGACCCCTCACAGCTGCCCCGAGTTCCTCAATGCCTCCAGCTTTTCCTCTCTAAGGCTCCTCTACCCTGCGCAGGGAGACGCGGGGCACAGCTCAAGTTGACTGCCCAAAGCAGACGTCCAACGTGGAGATAAAATGTCGGTTTCTCCCATTCTTTCAGATACCGCTAGTCTTTGGTAGGTATTTTCTGGAGCACCCACCCCTACACAGGGCCCTGAGAGGAGTGAATAGTGCAGGGAAGGCGA